TACAGTATGGATTATGCCTCAGTATAAAGAAAACAAAAATCCTTACAACAGTTCCAATAAAAAAGATTTACAATGGACAGAGAAAAGATAGAAGTCATCAAGAATTTCATATTACTTGGGTCTACAATCAACACCAATGGAAGCAGCAATCAAGACATCAGACAATATATTGCATCAGACAATAAATCTGCTGCAAAAGACCTCTTTCAAGTGCTGAGGAGCAAAGATATCTCTGAAAACTAAGGTGTACCTAACCCAAGCCATGGTATTTTCAATCACCTCTTATACATGTGAGAGCTGGACAAGGAGTAAGGAAGACCAAAGACTTGATGCTTTTGAGTTGTGGTGTTGACAAGGAATGCTCAAAGTACTGTGGTCTGCTAAAAGAATTGACAAATCTGTCCTTGAATAAGTGCAGCCAGAACGCCCCTTGGAAGCAAGAATGGCCAGACTTCATCTCACCAATTTTGGTCATGTTTTCAGAATGAACCATTCCCTGGAGAAGGATATCATGCTTTGTAAAGTGGAAGGTCAACAAAAGAGGGGAAGGCCCTCAACGAGATTGACACAGTGGTTACAACGATGGGCTCAGGTATAGCAAGGATCATGAGGCTGACAAAAGACTGGGCAGTATTTCGTTCTGCTGTGCATAGGGTTGCTATGAGTCAGAGATTACTCAATGACACCTAAGAACAATAGCAGCTTATAAAATGTAGTGAACAAACAGTATAATTCTTATTTAATTTTTAAAATATAATTTCCATGAAACAATGTTCTGGTTACCTAGTGCCACTCTGACAAGAATATACCACAAATGGGATGGCCTTATCAAACAGAACTTTATTCTCTCACAGTCTGGAGACTTTAAGTCCAAGTTCAAAGTGCCAGGCTCTAGGGGCTGTGTGAAAGCCCCTCGACCTTGGGCTTTAGCTCTGCCTCTTGTTCCCAGCCCACTGAAGCCAGAGGCATTTCTTCACTCAGGCAGCTCCTGGCTGCTGAGGCTAACAAGCCCAAGGTCAACAAATAAAATGGTACAGTCCTGATGTTACCAAGCCACGTGGCAGGCCAATAATTCAAGTCCATTGTAAGTCCCCTGGTCGGCAGAACATGGCAGGCTGCTGAACAGTAACATGGACATATGCAGGGTCCAAGCATGCCATATTCAGAAACCATTCCCCAAGGCTTCTCCTTATATACAGAAAGTAGACCACATTCCCTAAGGCAGCTACTCAGCTGCTCACAGTACATTCCACCATGGAGTTGATTACCAGTCTCATCATGGGGACTATTACATCCAGCTGCCCAGCCATTCAACCAGGCGCAGCCAAGCTGATGCACAAACTGAACTACCACAATTTTACCCCTTGTCAACTTGGCATCTGTACAGATCTTCATTGGGTGGCATCTGTACAGATCACTCTCACTGGGTGGCTCCAGTACCCTAGTTCCTATCAGGATTCTGTTGTCCTGCCTACAACTGTCCATGAGCGAACAGTCCACCATTCGGCATGGAGATCTTGGATTCATCATCCGTTGGAGTCAACAGTCAGTATACTGCTGCCAACCTTGAGCTCCTCAGCTCCTGTAGCTGTGTGAATCGGAAAAAGCTTCCAGCTTAACGTTTGACCCAAGAACTTGGGACTGCCAGCTTCTATAAGTGTGTGAGCCATTTTTCTAAG